AGCTCTCGATACCTTCCGTCTAAAACGAAAACTTTGGAAACGCATATTTGATGATACTTTTTTGCCATTTAAACTCTCCGTGTTAATGTATACGGCAAAATCGTGGTCCATCCATCATTTTAAATTTATTAAGTTGCCCTGAAGAAGGTAATAAAATTGCCGAAACCTTTTAAAAAAAGCCGAACGTCCATGAATTCCTCGATATCTAAAGAGACGCTGTTAAATTAATGCTGAAGATGACAATGTCTGGTCCGGTGAGCCAATATGATAAGAACGTTCTTCATTTCCAGATATCCGACATCGTGGTCGGACAAGAACCCAACGTTTCCGCCAAGGATTACCTGCTGCGCTGGGCGAAACGCACCACCCACAAGTATCCCGGCGTTCACGTGCAGGACTTTACAAAGTCTTGGCGCGACGGCCTCGCTTTCAGCTCCATCATCCACCGAAATCGACCGGATCTTGTCGATTGGGGACGGGTGCGGTCCCAGAGGCCGAGGGAACGTATGGAAACTGCGTTCTTCATCGCCGAGAGGGAATACGGCGTTACCAGGCTTTTGGACCCCGAAGGTACGACACGCCAACTTACTTTATACCTTTGTACCCTGCGTTCAATTTATCTTGATAACGTTGGCTGTAACTTTTTTGTTTTTAGAGATATCGAGGTAAACAAAAAAACAAAATATAATGTTAGTATCCAAGTTTTTTTCCAGGTAACGTATAAAACAAAACACTGTCAATTTTCTGACATAAGCCTACATCATATATTTTTAAACGGAACACCCTGTATATTATATATGTGTTTAATAGAATATCTTCTTCCGTTTACAATTATGTAACACACTTAATATTGTAGTCCACTCGTTTTTGACGAGTGATGGTTGAATTATTGTCCGAGTCATTATTGTTAAAAAGGTGAAAGGAGTGATTTGCTTCAAGTATACTTTCTGAATAATAAAAGTGTAACCGCAGCTCGGCGTCAGTATATTAGACTTTATCCAGACCGCCGAGCTTCTTCAAAACAGATATTTCCAAGGCTGGCAAAGGAATTTGCAGAAAATGGTAACGTATTAAATGCTAAAAAAAAATTAATCCACTCAGTTCTTAAATAATATAAATATAATTTCGTTAAACTCAAAAACTAAGTGCAGAACAATGTCAAAGGAAGACGCAGTTTTGTTTGGACTTTTTAAATAGTCATAAGAATAATAATTTTTTGTAAGGGCTGGCGGAGCTTGGTTCACTACAAGAAGGGGTTGTAATAGACAAAATTCGCGATATTGGTCTTTAGATAATCATAGACACATTGGCATATTTTGGGTCCGATATTTATAGATCAAAAGTTAACTGAAGACCATTGTTTGCAACGAAATAGAACAATATATAGAACTTTTACCCTTAAATATATCAGCGCTGATTGTATGGCCGAAGTGTTGTGTTAAAGTTAAAAATTTTCTTAACATGGAACATCCTAGGGGATGGATAGGGATCGGCATAACATGGATTGGCCATCCGATAGCCCCGACTTAACTTTAAGGGATTTTTTCTTATCGGTACACATCAAAAATCACGTGCACAGAACTCGTTGTAATAATGTCGTGGGAACTTCGGCAAAGTATTTCAGAGGCAATCAATCAGTAAGAGACAAGCAGCAGTATGTAGAAGAAGAAAGAATTTTTTGTTTTAGTGTGTCTTATAATTTTTAGTGTTTTTGTTCTATTTTAATTTGTAAATAATTATTGTTGTTGTAGTCGGTCACGGTACTCTTTGAAATTATATACAAATTTTCTGTTTTTGCCGATTTTTCGAAAACGAGTGGACCAAAATATAACGTGTGTTATATCATTGTAATCTGAATAAGGTATTCTATTAATATTAAAAACATATATAATATATATAATATATAATGTAGACTTATATGTCAGAAAATTGAGACTGCTTTGTTTTATACGTCACTTACATCATGTAAACATATGAACAAAATGTCAACAGTTGCTTAATTTATAGTATGCGAAGGCGGAGTCCCGATTACGTTATGGGATCAATTTGTGTAAATGCCGATAAGGTATTTTTGGCTCAAAAACGTATATTAAGGAGTATTGAGCATATTTCCAAGTTTACATCTTGTAGGGGTTTATTTGTCCAGTACATGGGCGAGTCCATTGATTTTTGAAATGTCATTGTATGTCTTTAACAACTTATCGAGTTTTAAGTTAGTTGGTGACGTATACATTCTAAGGATACAAGATGCATGTTCCCTACTGTAGGCTGTCGACGACTTCCGAGGTCACCTGATTATTTATTATTATTAAAAAACGATTAAAAATATTTTTGTTATCCGAAATATTTTATAGTTTTAACGAATTTTTTTGAGTATTTTTTTTATATGTCTATATATATTGCACCTATTATGTATTTTGACCATTCCTATACAATTTTGTAGTTGACTTTGAGAAACTAAATATTATTATTATTATTATTATTATTCGGATATTGAGTTCGGAAACTTGGAGGAACGGTTCAACGTGGTCAAATATTTTTGGTAAGTAATGTAACAAAAATTCGAAATCCGAATTTTTTCCGAGTTACAGCTTGTCAAAATTCATTTTTTTTTAATTTATTTTTAACGCAGTGCAATAAGCTAGTATTGGACAAATAGGCCTGATTTAGTAAACACCATCGTTACAAAATAAAAGAGATCGCCTTAAGCAAAATCACAAGTCCTCAAAAATTGTTACTCCTGTTTTATTTATTTTTTATTTATTTAATTCCCGATTATTATTAAAAAAATATATATTTTCGAAAATGTTAAATGTATTTACGTTACTTAAATTAAACATGTTATTGCATTGACTTATGCCATTTTTTCACTTTGCCAATTTGTACCATACTGTTTTGAAAAATATCGAGATATCCAGGATCATCTTTCTGTAAATTAGAACACTTATCGACTTCAAACAAGAGTTACAATTTTCGAAGATTTGTGATTCTGCTTAAGACAATCCGTTCTATTTTGCAATATCAGTCTAAATAAATAAAATACATGGAAAATTCTTTGGGATAAGCCTCGATATAAAGCCGTCGTGCTTGATCTGCATTTCCATTTGCTCTTGCACATCGCGATATTCAGTATTTGAATATTCCTGATGGGCCATCGCAGTAGCAGTTGGTTAATAAACTCTTTTAATAGAAACTAATTTTTAACGGATTGTGACAGTGAGTTTTTCAAATTTCATTAAGTCCTGTTAGGTAAAAAAATCACATTTATAATAAAAAATCGATTTGTGGCTAAACGATAACACCGATCAATTTGAAACAATGGTAACAATTTTTGATGATTTTTGATTTTGCTGTAGAGTACCGCATTTTTTTTTAATACATCAGTGGCGGACGTGCGGAGTTTCACCTGTCTATTCGGAAAAGAAAAAATATTCTTATAATCTCCAATCAATTCTAAAGGAACTAAAAATAAAAACCTCTTCTCTGCATGGTCATAACAATGTCGTTAATATGAATATCTCCGATTAACTAACTGTAAGCTTTGACCGAACGGTTTATTAAAAGTGCCATGCAATATTTTTTATTTAATCAAAACAAGCTTAACGAGCCGACCGGCAGATTGGCGTTTTTAGAGGTTTTTGACCCCATCGACGGACAAAATGCACTTATAGTGGTTATCGTCCGAGTCCAAGTGGATTAGAAAGGATTATTTCGCTTGTACGTCTTCCTGAGATCGCTATTCAAATAGTTTGAATTCCTCGTCTGCTTAGTCCCATTACATGAAAAAATATTAATATTTTTCTGTCCTTTTTACTTTTAAAGATACGATGCAATTTCTACATCTATTTGTGTATGTGTTTTTTCATGCAACCATTGCCACCATTTGCCAGAAATTTGGCATATAATTACCGAATTTGTGCGTTTGTTTTAAAAAACTTATAGGTTTAACATTCTTAGAAAATTTAAAAAAAGTTAAAATCACGAAAGATGACTCTTAGAAGCATAAAAATAAAATTATGAGGTACTAGATATAGCACAGCAAAAATGTAAGGGAAGAAAACGTGCAAATGAAACTTTTGCCTGGCGAACAAAAATTTAGGTCACTCAAGAAATTACAAATGTCTTGGGAAAAAAGTTTATCACCGAATGGCCGATCTTTGTTTCCAAATAATTTGAAATTTCCTAATTAAAAAGTGTCAATGGACAATTTGATTAAAAATTAACGCGTCGGCCGCTATTTTTTGAGTACATTTTCGCAAAACAACATAAATACTTTCACTGACATGACCGTCAGAACTGACAAACGTCAAAATTCAAAGCGTGGGAAATATCTCCGAAAACATCCGATTGCTCCCAAACGCGTGCTGTAAAATCCCGGAAATATCCGAAGTGACTCGGATCCGTTGAAAACGAAAGTGACGTGATAAAGTGACGCTTCCCGCAGTGTGTAATTAGACATTTTACAGACGGGAGTAGAAAAAGACTATTATAAAACAAATCAATAAACAATCTGTTTAAAAAAATTATACTTCAATATGTAACCTAAATTAGTGAAATTAGTAAATGTAAGAAAATAAGTTTTAGAAAACACGTAAATTAATTAAGATTTATTGAATTTTATCCTCTGCTTCAAACAATCATTCTAATTTTTTACTAGCACATTGGGATTGTGGATTTTACTTATAAACAAAACATATTTGCATTAAGGTTAGCCGTTTGACATCGTCGAAATCTAAAAAGTAAAGTTTATTGTATCAAAATTTAAAAAACAACCGTTAAAGCGAAACTCCACCAACCACCAATTTTTAACATCAATTTTTCTCTGCTAAAAATGCATGCAGACATACCGGGCTTATCAAAAAAAAAATTACCCTCAGTTGGTAGATTGTAAACCAGACTCATTTACGTTGGATATTTGCCTGATCGTAAACATTTTAACGCGTTTTATGTTTATTATAATCGTTTCTTCGCTTCGCCAAGTCTTGTTACCTCGATTACCATTTAACTGTTTTATCACATCGCTCAAAGCTTATTTATAAAAAACAAAACGTCGAGTATTATGCATATGGCGTACACGTATGTCCATTCTTGGATTGAAAAAAATCTATTGTTACCGGTACGGTAGTCAATGTGCGGACGAGACATAATGGATACTTTGACCTTGCGCAGTTTTATTATATATTTCGCTAAAAACTCGTTAATTGTTTTATCAGCCGTCACGGTATCCAGATTCCTCGTGACGTTCAAAGGAAATAAAATTGCCGAGCTGCTATTTTTAGAAATTTGTTGTCGTTTTTGCGACTTTGTCGTTATTTTTGTCGCATAATTTGTTATCGAATTGCAGTTATTTATATCAGCCAAGTGAACACTATTTTTGATTGAGCTATGCCTGTGCAAGGTCAAGAGTTGAGATCCACACTAGAAGTCGGTCTTGATTAAATTGTATAATTATTATTAATTATTAATAGTAAAAGTTTGATAGAACACCAACCTTAGTTAACGACCATTATATTAATACGATAATAATACCGACAAAAATGTTTTGTTAAATGTGCTCTCCTAAATTATTTGGTTGCTGAGTTCACGGGCTTTCGATTAAATTAAATTAAAAAGGGCAGCGCCAAAATTTCTTGGCCTGAATATGAAAGAAACAAAGTAGAGTAACAATTTTTTATTATTTTTCAATATAATCCCCCTTAACTTCAATACACTTATTACATCCCTTTATTAACAACTCAATCCCTTTAAAAAATATATTCTTTTGGTTTGTCTGCAAAATGAGCTAAAACAGCCTCTTTTAACTCAACTTCGTAGTTAAACCGCCGTCCACGTAAGTCCTTTTTCAAATATCCAAACAAATAATAGTCGCTGGGGACCATATCTGGACTATAGGGAGGATGATCTATTTGTTGGAATCCACACTCTAAAATGGCAGCTTGTGCAACACCAGCAGTTGGACAGGTGCATTATCGCGCAAAAGACGCACGCCTCTGGTCAGTTTTCCTCGACGTTTTACACGAATGCAGTCTCGCAATTTATGTGATAATGTCGCGTAATATTTACCAATGACAGTGGTATTAGTTTCTTTAAAATCTATCAAAACAATTCCTTCACAATCCCAAAAGATCGTGGCCATCGCCTTTTTTGTTGACTGGCAGACTCTGAATTTTCTTGGAGGAGCTTCACCCTTACGACGCCACTCCATTGATTCTTTTTTCGATAGAGGGTCATAATAGAGAACCATAGCTTCAACTCCCGCCGCAATAGTTTCTATCACAGGCTTCGGTTCCGACCGACAGAGTTGCAAAAAAGACTCGACACTGCGTTGTTTTTGGAGTAGCCGAAAGGTTTTTAGGAACCCATCTTGCACTAACCTTATGCTTACCTAAATGATCATGCGGGGTTCGACGAAAACTTGTACCAGAAAGTTTAGTAATTTCTGAGATTTCCTTGACCTTTAAACGTCGATCACTCAATACCACCTCTTCCACAATCGCAACAGTAACTTCCGTTATGACCTACACTGGTCGAACAGTTCATGAATCATCTTCAAGGGACTCCTGCCCCATTCGAAAACGTTTTGCCCATTCTTTCACTACAGAATACGAAGGAGAACTTTGGCCGTACACCCCATCCAGCCTTTCTTTAATAATTTTAGGTGCTAACCCTTCTTTTGTCAAAAACTTTATGACTGCTCTAAACTCAATTTGCGTTATTTGCGACATTTTTTCGGACACGTCTTGTTTAAAATGCTGTCAATAAAAAACTATTTGACGCAAGACTTCAATTTTTTTTTTCGCAGCTGCATCTATGTTAGGCTGGAAAATTTTGGCGATAACCTCGTATATAATAACTTTATGTACAACATTACTCTTACCAGGTCAAGTTTGCTGACACCATACATATATGTTTTTACCTTAAATTTGAAATGTTTTTTTAGAAAAATTTGTTGATCCTAATAATATTTCACTCTGAATGCCAAATCCGATGTTACAAATGAAACTTTTAATAGATTTTTAAGTTCTAGTTATTTTAAAGCGCTTCCACTTTTGTCCATATTCTGAATGCAAAATCCGATGTTACAAATTAACTTTTAATATACTTTATTGATATTAATGTGATATTTTAATTTTTATTATAAGACGGTGTCCTCAAATATGAAGTTCTTTGGATTAAATCATTTTTATCCCTTACGACATACCTATAAAATCAAAAAAATTGTTTGAAATTTGAAACAAATTTGTCTCTATTTACGCATCTATTTCAGCAGTTACAAATAAACATTTTTTTTAATTATTATTATCAAAGCCTTTCAGAGTCCGTCCCTAATGTTCTATCATTGACATTGAGACAGACATACTGTAAATGGTTAAATTTCGCCTCGGTCCAGGTTATATTATCAACTACTCCATTGCAGTTTTGTATAATAAAACCACCTGTTAATTTCGTTGAAGCGGAGTTTGCAATTTGTGTCTTATTTGTTTGCAGATGTCGACACTCACGAACCCGATGAGAAGTCGCTCATCACTTACATTTCGTCGTTGCACGAGGTATTCCCCGAACCACCACCCATCCACCCTCTCTACGACTCGGTAGCCCAGCAACGCGTGCAAGAATACCGAGAAATCGCTTCCAGTCTGCATATGTGGATTCGAGAGAAATACAGTCTCATGCAGGTAGCGACGCACGTTACATAATTCTCGATTACTTACTACACAATTAACAAATCGACTGTTAGTCCATACATCCGGAGCGTAGTTCATTTATAAATTGTTTGTTTTTGTTGGAACAATGATACAAACGCTTAACGTGTAATTATCGCTGTGTAAACACGATAGGTTCGTTCCATTACAGTTATTCCATTTTTTTTTGTAAACGCGTTAAAATATTTTTACTTGTAGGTACACCTCAGGATTTCTTATGCGTCAGGTATTGACTACGTCTTACCGATGTTGATGAATGATATGTACCGGGTTATTCTTTAATAGAATAAGTTGGTTTTTGAGGTACAGGGTGAAATCTCTGTCGTCTTCTAAGTAATTGAAGAGTTTAAAAAATTTTCTCATGTGACTTTTTTCCGTTGAATCCAGTGGCGTCCTCCAACCGCTTAGTAGTTATGAAGAAAACATATACAGTAAATTGCGTTTATAACGTACTTCCGCCCAAAATACTCTTGATTTTTAATCGGATATTACGTAGCATCTATAAGTTCTACTACGGTAATACAGTGCAACATTCTCACTATTGTTCTGGTTATAAAGTACGAGCGTACGCTATAACCGGATTATCGGTAATCATTTCCGAGGTTTTCTCTGAAACGTGCGTGTCTAGCCGACAGTTTCCACTCTATAGTTTTATGGAAAGGTGCACCATTACGATTGTTTGAGTTTATAGTTAAAGTGGCGGATCGGCGCAAGTCTTCAGAAGAAAAGATAGAGATTAGCAGAAGTATTGAGAGTGGCATCGGTAAGGCGGAAATTGCTAGACAAAAGCAATCGACAAAAACAACAATATCTACGATTTGGAGTAATCGCGAAAAATCAAGAAAGCAAGTGACTGTAAATCGCACAGGATTAAAAGAATAAAAAATCCTGTAGATTTAGATGTAGATAAAGCTCTGGTGGAGCGGGAGATGTTAACGAACAAGTTATACTGTACTGGGAAGAAGATAAGCGACCCAGTATTGTACGAATTGTGACAAGACTGGGCTATTTTACAAGATGACTCCAGATCGTACCTTTAAATTTAGAGGAGAAAATTGCTTTGGTGGGAAGCAGTCGAATGAGGTACACCGTTTGGGTTTGGGCAAATATGAGAGGAAGCGAAAAATGCAAACTTTTTGTTATTGGTAAATATGAACGACCGAGATGCATGAAAAATGTGAAGAAAAATCTACCTATAAGTCAAACCAGCGAGCGTGGTTGACTTCAGCAATTTTTTATAATTATTTAAAGCATTGCCATGAAAAACTAAAACGTCAGAATAGAAAAATATTGCTTCTGGTTGTGCAGCTCATCCAAAAATCTTCTTTTTTCTTTGCCTCCAAATAGCACCTCAGTAGTCCAGCCAATGGATCAGGGCCTTAAGACATATTACCGCCGATATTTTTTGTATCGTTTGATACACTCATTTGAAAATAAGGAACCTTTCAACGTCACTATCCTAGACTCCATAAAGTTACTTGCACAGTGTTGGAATGATGTTACTTCAACCACTATTTCAAACTGCTGATGAGTTTGATTCAGGCGATGACTTACCTCTGGTTCAGTTGTTCGAGAAGTACCAAAATAATGACTGAGAGGTTCCCCTAAGTAATTGATTGCGTTATAGCGGCCAAGATCTAGCTAACATTGAAGTGTACCTTCCTGAGCTGGATAGCTTCCCAACTGTTGATGATAATTTAATGAAATCTTCAATTTCACAAAAAAGTAGCACAGTGTCGCGTAAACCATAAAATAACCATGATACCCCGTAAAAGTGTCCAAAATGGGGTTACCCTGTAGAGGGCGAGTCAACGATAGAATAAAGTTCATTATCTCATTGGTTGCGAAAGTTATCTTTACTTTATTTAGCATAAAAACTAAAGAAGAATCGTATTGACATTGTAAATGTATCATGTGTATTGCAAATTAATTTATATAATTTATATACTGGATGAGGCAGAAAAAATACTTCTAGACCGTGATTCTGAACGATTAAATTAAATTTCACAGATCGGTAGAGGTGGATTTATTGGATATCCCTTTCGACCATGTGACTTAATACCACTAGATTTCGTTTTCTGGGAGTATTTCAGACATGTGTATCCAATTAAAAAAAAAATTAAAAATAGAATCCAGATTTTTCAATTTAAAATGATCCAGATATATTCGTTTATTGTGAATGTCCTGTAACGCCAACGTGAAATACATGAGTGATCTACCTTGAAAAATATCTATCGCTATCGTGAGAAAATTAGTATTTTTTTTTAGAAACATTTAAAATATTGGGAAAACTATTATGGGGTTTAGGTATGCATTATTAGTAATAAAAAAATTAAAGAATTTCAAAGCCAATTCAGAACAAAAACTGTTTAACCGATCGGCAAAATTTTAGACGCATAAAAGGCGGGAGATATAGGGCCATGACTTTTATTTTAAGCGTTTTCGATTCTATAGAGGGTTTTTCAGTTATGGACAAAAGTCTAGAAGACCTTGAAAATTGTACTTTTTGGGAATTATTAACCGTACAATTTTTGTATTTACCGTTTTCGTCTATCACATATACTGTTCGAGATATTTGAAAAAATCCAAATGAAAATCACCATATCTCGCACTCAATCGAGACCGTATGACGTCATTTACTATTACGGTGTACTGCATGGTTTCAGAAAAGAGGTAAAAAAATTCATATACAGGGAAACCTGGGAGATCAGTTCCGGCATTTTTTCGATTATGTACAGGGTGTGTCGATTATTCGAGATGAGATCCTGAAAATTGCCGTTTTCGTGGTTAAATTATTCGCCGTAAATGAAAAACTATAAAACACGGTATAATTTAGTTTGAACAGAGTTTCAAGTTTCGTCTAGCATACAAGGTGCGCCAGATATTTGAAAAAATATAATTGGGAATCTCTATTATTTGTAAATTTTTTTGAATTTACCAAAGTTTGCCGTAACTTTGAAGTTTAGCCAGACGTGGACGACGCTTTATACGGGATGTATGCACAATATAATTACATCGATTTTGCGAAAGTTCCATAGTGGTGCGCCTGTTTGAAATAGGAAACTGCTTGGCGCTAGTTGCGACGAACTTGCCCCGCCCAGCGACGATTTTTCGTCTGTCAAAAAATTAATCGCTATCCAAATACCCACCACATCTACTACAGAGTTTTGAATGTGTTTTTTTCTTAATTCTCAGGATCGCAACTTCCCGCCAACTCTAATCGAAATGAAAAAATTAGCAGCGGAATCGTCCAGATTCCGAACCGACGAGATCCCGCCCAGGCAGAGAGACAAACAATACTGCGCGCAGCTATTCAGGGATCTTGAAAAATACTTCAAGAGTGTCGGAGAGGTCAGTAAGATTTAAATAACAAAAATAACAATAATGACAGTTAAGATGTAACGAAACTACCCCGATGGTAGGCCACCTTTTCACGGAACTCGTGATAATCTGTCCATAGGTTGACGTAGAACCCGAACTGCATATCGATAACATCGAACGAAATTGGCAACGTCTGATGAACGCTTACCAGGACCGCGATAGACATATAATCGAAGAAATTAAGAGGTTAGAAAAGTTGCAGAGGTTAGCCGAAAAAGTGCACAGGTGGGTATCCGATTTACAGTCGGTGTCATGTGAAAAAGAGATAGCCAACACAAAATAAATGTGGTCGTGAAAATAATATCAATGAAATTTAAATCTTATCTTCTCTGATCTTATCTGATTACATTTTAACTCTTGAAAGTCAGACATCAAGTATGGTTTAGGATGAAATCTTGCTCTATAACACACAAGACTTTTCCTTGTAGAAAATGGCTCTTTTGTTTTGGCAATAAAAATTTATAACCAACTGAAACGATAGTAAAAATGTTTTTGTTTGATAATTTTTAACGTGTGTTCATTGTTGATAACTTGATCGTATCTCAAACTTATTAATTAAGCTATATCCTCAATTTTGAAATTTAGTTAAACTGGTAGCGGCGACACACACCAAACGAGCACGAAATATTCAAGGTTATTTTGTTTTTTAGTAAAAAGCATCTCTGATCAAGTTTTTTAGAGAGGCTAGATTCCCTAATGCAATAAAAAGTCCCAATTCACAAGGAGGAAGACAGGCATTTGATGTCTGGTTTTCTCAAAAATCTTCGAAAAATTTCCATTTTTTTAAGTGATTACCAATTTGGTTTTCGAAAAGGCCATTCGACAGAGGAAACTATAATTATATAAATTTGTTTTATCTCGTTTTCGAAGTCTTTGTCTCTCTCTTTTGAATTGAGAAGAGCTCTCGGTGTGATAGGTATAGGCTTAATGCTCGGTAAATTCCATAAGTGCGGGATGTGCGGTAAAGAACAAACAACCCATTTAAAAAATGATATCTCGACCGAGCATTCTGGGACCGCTTTTATTCATAATTTCCTTTGATAACATTACGCAGGAATTTCCTAGTCATTGTGGTAAATAAAATGATAACTTTTTGCAATGAAAATAGACTTACTTTAAATGAATCGAAAACAAACAAATTAAGTAATAAAACGGTTAAACAAACATGGGTTGCGAAATATCTGGGAGTTTTTATATACGTGGATTAATCAGATGGATGCGGTATTTAAGAAACTTGAGATATAAGGTTGATGTTCAACTTTTATTGGTTTACAATTATGGCTACGTGCCATATGTCATCGTGTGTTGTGGTAACTGTGTCAGGGGAGCTGAAGTGTTCATAACACAAAAGAAAATACTGGGGCTTATTTTATTTGAGCCATATGCATACTGTTTCTAAACTAAATTTATTAACGTTCCCTCTACATATTTTTTCTACTCCCGTCTGTAAAAAGCGTCACTTTACCACGTCAGTTTCGTTTTCCACGAATTCGAGCCACTTCGGATATTTCCGGGATTTTACCGCACGGATTTAGGAGCAATCGGATGTTTTCGGAGATATTTCTCACGCTTTGAATTTTGACGTTTGTCAATTCTGACGGTCATGTCAGTAAATAAGTTTGTGTTGTTTTACGAAAATGTACCCAAAAACTAACGGCCGTAGAAAAAGTGTAGTATGCAACAAGTTCGGTAAACTTTTTAAGTCACTTTTTTATTAAACAATCGTAGTATTTAAATTGCATAACATTTTTCTGTGTATTAGTTTTTGGGTACGTTTTTGAAAAAACAACACGAATACATTCACCGACGTGACCGTCAGAATTGACAAACGTCAAAATTCAAAGCGTGGGAAATATCTCCGAAAACATCCGATCGCTCCCAAACCCGTGCGGTAAAATCCGGAAATGTCCGAATTGGCTCGGATCCGTGAGAAACAAAACTGACGTGGTAAAGTAAAAGTAATTAAGTATTTTACAGAAAATTAGTATATTATGCAACAAGTGCAAAATGCAAAAATGTCTATTATACTATAGATGAATATCTAAATTGCAACACCTGGAAATAAAACTTTGTCTTGCCTTTTCTCGGTGTCATAATTCTTTAAAATGTAACTTTAATGTTGGCTCCGCGCATCTTTCTCCATTGATTGAAACATTTTTCAAAAATTCTGTTCGTGTTCACAGGGAAATAAAACAAACCGACTCGCACCTGGACTCGATCGAACGAACGATAGACAGTGAGTCGAGACGAATCGAACGTCTTCATCCGTTGGAGGCAAAAAAAGTCGCCGATCAGATCGATAACGAATTGAACGTCGCGGAACAATCGATAAGGTCCCTTAAATCGGACGTAAACACTTTGAGGAACGGGCGATACCCCCAGGCTGGCGAGCTGGACAAAAGGGTAGACAAGCTGCACGAGAAGTGGGTACGTCTGCGACATACGTTGCACAATAAGATCATCGGACCGCTGGCGAACATGAGCTTCCCCGTGGAAGAACGAACCGTGACGAAACACATTCGAACGGTGCAAGAAACCAGAAACGTAGACACCAATCCCCACTTTAGATCCTTGCAGGAGCATATCGAGTGGTGCAAAAACAAACTGGTGAGTCACTTATCACTCTAACGATATGTTTTTTTATTGTTCTTTTTTGTCGTTGCTTCAGTCATTGCTTGTATACATATTTTTATAAATTTCAGAATATATAACTGGATACTTTCCTTTTTGTATTTCATTCTTTTATACATAGACCTCTTAATACGCCTAATACAGAACACCAACAATTTAAAACAATTACATACGTAGGAGAACCCAGTGAAAAAGTTTCAAAACATTTGTGAAAATATGGTTTAAAAATAGGTTTCAAAACTAACAACACAATAGGAAAATGAAAAAAAAAATTAAAACGAAATGTCCAAAATCTCAAAAATCAGGTGTCTGCGGATCTTGTATTAAAATTTATATTGGACAAACAGGTAGATCCTTCAAGAAACGCATTAACGAACATAAAAGGGCGTTTAAAAACAATAGTCTAGATTCTAATTATGCTACACACTTAAACAGAGAAAAACACATTTTTGACGACCATTTCGATATTTTACATACAGGCCCCAAAATTAAAAAATTAAATTTATTGGAAGTCATGGAGATTAACAAAATGAGACATTCAAATGTATTGCTTAACGATCAATTAGATTTAAATACCTCTCCTTTATTGAACTTAAATTCTCACAACATTAATTAAAGTTTTATGGTCATTTTTCGGTATATATAGTAGCAGGTAGTTTGTAAATATATATATTTGTAAAATATTTGATAAAGACACGGTGAAACAATTATCATGTGATTATATATAATTTCGTGAAAATCTGAATTTTTAGTTCTTATTTATTTTGATAAATGGATTTTCATCAAGTAAAAGCCACCTCGGTTCAAGTTTTGTAATTTTTTCACGGAGTTTGATGACAGATTTAAGTTGGCATTCGATAGATGACGTAGGATATTTTTTTAAGTTGACGATATGATCCGTCTGTAAGAATATCTTGGATCTTTTCCTGATGTTCATTAGTTTGTAGGTAAAAGAAAATGCCACGGTGCAGCAAAAGTTGCGAGATATTCTTAAAGACGAATCATATCGTCATCTTATGGAACGCAACCTTAAATCTGGCTTTAAGACTTCTCTATCAGATTCGAAAAAATCTGTCACCACTCATAACTCTAAAATTCTCTATGCATACTCCCAAAGATTCACAAACCAGGATTACCTCTTCGGCCTATTGTCAGCATCATTGGTTCTCGTACTCAATTCCTTTCACTTACCTTAAATGCACAGAATATTCTGGTTAGTTTCGACGTAGAATCCCTGCTTATTAAAGTTCTTATTCCTGAAACTCTCACCATCATTTCAGATATTTAATATCCGAGATTTGGGAACCAAACCTCACATTAATCGAAAAATGCTTGTCTGGACAATATCTTTCTTATAACGGTCAAATTTTTGAACAAACGTCGGGAACAGCTCAAGGTTCTCCACTATCACCAGTTTCTGGAAGCCTTCCATCTAAAACCAAAATTATCGAAACGCTAGGTGGACTATACTTTTGTTATTTGGCCTCATGGTCAAGAATTCCTAGTAGATTTTCTTAGGCATTTAAACTACATACACCCTAACATACGTTTTATTATTGAAATAGAAACTAATAACATTCTTAGACATTCTTATGAATATAAAATCAGACCTAACATTGGGTTATTGTGTTTACAGAAAACACAGGCATTAATGCATTGCCACATCACCATCCCGCCCAAAAATCATCGGTTATCAATACTCTTGTTTACAGAGCCTTAAAACTATCTTAGCCCGAGTCACTGAACCCCGAATTAAAACACCCTGTTTCTGCTCCTCTATAATAATTTCCACATTAAGCGTTACATCACACAATACAGTCCGCACAACCTTCCAATAGCAATGAAGCCGAAACCAATCCCACACTTGCCACTGTTGTCCTTTCTTACATTCAAAACATCACCGACCACATATCAAAAGTTCTAAAGAAACATAACGTCAAAACCAGATTTACCACTTGTCCAAAAATACCTCAACATCTTCCATCCGTCAAAGACAAGATTCCATTTGAGATGCCAGGAGTTGCCAGCATTCCGTGCATGCAAAAAATACATTGGAGAGACCGGACGAAAAATATCAACTAGTTTCAAACAACATGAAAGAGCATTAAGACTAAGACAAAGAAACTCATTAGCTGTTGCCGAACACAATCCCGAAACCGGACATGAAATTTTCTATCAACGAAAAATCCGAGAATCTACAGAAATCTATAATCAACCTAACAATCTTAACGGCGATTCAGGTTTTTACCTATCACCAATATGGGAATCGGTCATCCGAGACGGTATTTATACCTCTCATTTAGCTCCGCCACCCTCAATATATAAGCAGGTATAGAGGAAAATGCGAGACATTTCGAGTCAGGTTCTGAAGAAGTCAACTGGATGATCGGCGAAACGTCAACAAGCTAGACTCAGCAAAGACCAACGCAGGAGGAATTCAGAAGTTTCACACTACACCTAGCAACTTGAGCTCCCTACTTTTCAACCTATTCATTGACGATATTAACTATTACCTCTTCCATTCTTACATTCCTTACTCTTCTCCTTGCCAATAAATCAAAAGTTTTCATGAAAATTGTGGCCATGTTCAAAGTTATGAAATTCCATCAGTATTTCTCATATCATTATATATCGGTTTAGGGAACTTGGTGTTTTCATTGTGATGTTTCATCCCATATTGAAGTTATAATTAGCAAATCATGTTTGGATTTGTGTATCCACCATTTTATGACGCACCCGGCTTATCAACTCTTTCTTGCAGACGAAAGCAGATATATCTCAAACTTATCCATAAAATCATAAATTCTACAATTGATTGTCCATACATGACTTCTAAAATAACTTTGCTATCTGCACCACTCAAACTTTTAGTCAGCAATTTCACATAACCAATTATGCTGTCCGCTTCATTTTTTCCACCACCATTAATCTGTGTAATGAACCAAGTCAGACGGACTGTCACTGGTCACTCTTTATTATTATTTTGATTATTTCGGTCCTGATAATAATAAAAGGCAAAAAAATGTCTGCTGAAGGTTGAACGTTAGCAAATACCATCTGCTCAATATATAAGTCAACTCCGTTTTTCCAGAAACAATTGAAGAAGGCTGATTACGGAACGGATTTGTCCTCCATTCAGCAAGAACGCGACTTTCATTTACGGGAGCACAAAACCATCGACCAGTACCATTCCAAGGTCGAAGCTTGCGTCAAGGCCAGGCAGTACTTTAGCGGCGAGGAGTTGACGCTGTACAATCAGCATCTCGGCCAGTTGCAGAAAGTTTACGCGGATCTGTTGTCGTTCAGTACCAACCGCATGACCGATTTGGACACCTTGTTAGATTTTATACAGTCGGCGACGAAAGAACTGCAGTGGTTGAACGAGAAGGAGGAAATCGAAGTTACCAGAGATTGGAGCGACGCGAAACTCGACACTAAGGGTGTGGAAAAATATTTTGAGGTGAGCAACGAGCGACGCCGCAGAACCAAATTTCTGCAGCTGCTGCTGTTAATGTATTTTTTTTTTTTTGGAAAATATGTGTACCGGCTATCCCATTTGGAGCAATTTTATGGGTTATTTTTTAAGATGGAAAGTTACGGTTTACGCGACACTGTTCTGCTTTTTCGTGAAATTAAAGATGCCGCCAACAAAATTATCATGGCCCTGTTTTTTTTTGAGATACAGGGTGAAATTAAAAACCATCGATTTGGGGACCGCCCTCGCATCTCCGTTGTCTTTTAAGTTATTGAAGAGTTTAAAAAACATTCTTATAGGATGTGTTTTTAAAATGGAATCCCTGTATGTTATTTTTTACATTAATTGGAAATCATTTAAGTTTTTCAGAAATATATTTTAGTGTAAAGTTGTTCTTGGGCATTTTCATTGCATTCAATAAAACATACCGAATATCATATTTTTCAGAAATTTCATACACTGCCATTATTATAGAAAATATTAAAGAACAAATGAAAAATATGATTAAAAACTAACAGTCCCGCAAGTTTTTGCTTTTTTGTTTTTAATAGATGTTTTTCGAAATTATATAAAGAGTCTCTTGCTCTGCTTAGATGTATCTTGTTTTTAATTGATCTGTTATGGTCCACTACTGCAAATAAAGTAAAAAAAAAAAAAGATGAATTTTGAGCTTCATTTTCAACAAGTAATATATATTTTTGAAAAGACTTAAACGGTTTTGCAAATAATGTAAAAAATAACTTATATAGTGATCATAACTAAAAATAACTGGATTCTACGGGAAAAAATCCTATACGAACGTTTTTTTAAACTATTCAATAACTCACAAGGCAACGGAGATACTGGAATTGTTCCAGAATGGATATTTTTGGATTTTACCCTGTATCTCAGAGCCAGCTCTATATTTAAAACAAACTGTAAAGGGGACATCCTGTACATACCAGAACGTTATCTGAAAAATCTTATGGAGCACGTATTTTCCTGACACTGTCACCCTTTCGTTTCCGATCTTCTTAAACATCCACCCCATAGCCATGTGTTACGGTACGTTTCTTCGATATTCGCTTGCACTGTTTTGATACTTTTACACATTTGTCTGTCTTCCTCCTTCTCTTCCAAAGCACAACACAAAATTTAAATCGAATTCGAGTAACATTTGACGTTCCCATTGTTGTTTTTTATCGCAGACACATTATGGAAATGGTGGCGAGGTAAAATCGGTCTAGCGTTGATAAGAGCGAAACTAACGCGTTTTCATCTCCCGTTTTAGAACCTCATGAGCGAACTGGAAAAACGCGAAATTCAATTCAATTCGGTGCTGGAACGAGGCGAAAGTCTCCTCCTTCAGAATCATCCGGCGTCGAAAGCGATCGAAGCCCACATAACGGCCATGAATACGCAATGGTCGTGGCTCCTTCAGCTCACCCATTGTCTCGAAACGCATCTGCAGAACACCAGAAACTACCAGCAGTTCTTCAAGGACGTTCAGGCGGCGGAGGAATGGTTGAAAGAGAAGGACGATACGATGAACAGCGAGTTTAGCCAAGGAGACTTCAGCCTGGACGTGGGGGAACGCCTGCTGCAGGGCATGCAAGCGCTTAGGGACGAATTGAACGCGTTCGGCGATCAGGTCCAAGCTTTGGCGACGAGGGCGCAGAACATCGTGCCTTTGAAGCAGAGGAGGCAACCGTTGACAAGGCCGCTCACCGTTACCGCTCTGTGCAGTTACAGGCAAAATAATGTGAGTGGTTTCGACATTTAGTAGTGAAGATTATGTTTTAAATTTAATGTCGATTGTGTCTCACACGAGGCTGGCTATTGATTGTATAGACTTTAAGAAATACGTCATTAAGGTCGCTGGTTGAACTTCAAGCATAATGAAATGAATGTTTTTTTTTTTAAATAATGAGATTTTGATATATTTTAAAATTATCTCGAACTTAAATTTTGTTAATTAACTTGCATGACCCGAGCAAACGTATTTGTGGCTTAAATTCCATTTAGATATTTTAAGTGGTTTCAGAAATACTAAAAGAAGATTTTTGGGGCGCCATTTACAGAGCTTTTTACTGATGTATCGGGTCATCATAGAGTAGGGGAAAGCTTAAATATCTCTAAAACTGCCAAAGCTGGAGCGATAAGATTTAAGCAGTGTTGTCGGCTTTACTACTTTTATGTTACACGTCGTAGTATTGTTATTTTAAATGGGAAAGTCTTATAATTTCAAAACTTTGTTTCTATTCATTAGCAGCGGACATTCAAAATTCAAAAACGCTAACAACAATGTTGTCAGATTTACTGCTTTTCAGTAAAATGCACTGAAACGCTGAAATATCTTCCAAGCGGCCAAAATTGGAACGGTAAAATTCAGCAGTTTTTCAGCACGCAAAATTCAAAAACGCTAACCGCAATGTTGTCAGATTTACCGCTTTTACTTTGCACGCCATAATTTTTTATTTTAAATAAAATGCTTTATGTTTTTTTGTTGCATTGAATTGCGCATTCCCAATGTAGTAGTATTTTTGTTGCTATTAATTACTGAGCTACGGCAACACCGCTTTTTCAGTAAAAAGCACCGGAACGCTTAAATATCATCCAAGCTGCCAAAGTTGGAACGATAAAATTCAATACGTGGGGGTTTTTCAGTATACAAAATTCAAAAACGTTAACAGCAGTATTTGAACGCCCTATTTGTTTTGTTGCAATGAATTTAGAAGTAAATATCATTAGCCATTAGCATTTTTCGATTCTGCCTATTCAAAAACCACCAGGTATTAAACTTTATCGTTCCAGCTTTGGCAGTTTTGTGCCGACCCCGTATATCCTTTACAAAAAATGCTATTTCCGAAACGACATAAATATCTAAATGAAATTTAGGTCACAAATACGCTTCGTTGGTTCGTAAAAGTTATATTTTCATGTTCTATTTACTCTAGAAATTAATGGAACGGTTCTTAATATACCCACGATACCCAAATTAGCGGACCATCGTGGTCAGACTGGTACAACGCACAAGTAAAAATTAGGTTTTCGCTAATACTTGTAGCTTCAATATCTTCCTTTTCCGCCCCTCAGTTTGTAATCGAAAGAAACAAAGAGTGCACCTTGACCGACAACTCTGGCCGCATCAAGTGGCGCGTCCACAACGACAAGGGCGTCGAATGCCAAGTCCCCGGCGTCTGTTTCGTCATACCGCCGCCAGACAAGGACGCCCTAGATGCCGCCGACCGTCTGAGACGCCAATACGACAGGTCGATCGCGTTGTGGCAGAAAAAGCAGCTGCGTATGAGGCAGAACATGATTTTCGCCACCATCAAGGTGGTTAAAGGTTGGGATCTGCCGCAATTCATTGCGATCGGCGCGGAGCAGCGAAACGCCATCCGGAAAGCCCTCAACGAAGACGCGGACAAACTGATGGCCGAAGGCGATCCGTCGGATCCTCAATTGAGGCGACTGAGACGCGAAATGGACGAAGTCAATCGACTGTTCGACGAGTTCGAGAAACGGGCCAGGGCCGAAGAAGAAAGCAAAAATCAAACGAGGATATTTAACAACCAGATATCCAACTTGCAACAGACGCTGGACGAAGCGGAAAGGATCATCAATCAGCGAGTACTGTCGCCGATTCCGCGCGACATCGACACCCTGCAACACATGGTGCTGGAGCACAAAGAGTTCGAATCGCGTCTTCAAAATTTGGAACCAGAAATCGAGCAGGTCAAGGAAACGTTCCGTTCGATCACCCTGAAGACGCCGCAACACAAAAAAGACCTCGAGAAAGTGTTGGACAAGTGGAACTACGTGTGGAACGTCAGCAATCTGTACATCGAGCGTCTAAAGTGCATGGAGATCGTCATCAACGGGATGGACGACGCCTCGCAGGTGATTTCGGAGTTCGAGAACAAACTGGCCATGTTCAATGACCTGCCAAATACGGAAAAAGGCCTCAAGTCCGTCCACGACAGCCTTTTGAAGCTGGAGTCAGCGGTCGGACAGCAGCAAATCGCGATGGATCAACTCAACGACGATTTCGACAACGCCAGGAGGCTTACGGAAAAATCGAGGCCTAATCAGAGAGGACCCCATTCCGATATCGAGAGGTTGGACAAGGAAATTCAAAGGCTCAACGGCAGATGGAGCAACGTCTGCTCCCAGTTGGCGGACAGGCTCAGGGGTTGCCAACAGGCGTACGATCTGCTGAAGAATTACAACGAGGCGAAGCAAGGCGAAGATAAATGGCTGGACGAGCAATACGGCAAGCTGGAGACGATCCAACCGGTCAAAGACAGGGCTAAAGAGCACCTCGAAGCCACCAGGGTGAGTAGAGTAGTTGGGATCTGTTAAATCGCACTTAGATTAAATCAAAGTAATTTCTAATGTTCTAATCGTGAATCATCCAGTAGTTCTAATGTCCCGGTAACCCTAACACCGTAACAACACGATCGCACTTTGGATTTCAGAATTTACTAAACAGCGTAGTGGAACGGACCCCCAAAATCGAACGGGTCAACGTTAACGGTGGTAGATTCATCAGAGAAGGGAAGGTAATATAGATCCCATCGTCTCATCTATCATTTATTTTTAATTTAGTTTGTAAGTTAGATTTGTGTGCGTGAAGAGAGAAAGAGAAATATATTTAGTTTTATTCCGTTGTCGTCGGATTTTTGTCGAAATATATTGTCACCATAATAGATACTGTTAGTTGTTTCTGCTATTTGATGGAATTTCATATATACGAGGTGAACTTTGAGTTGATATCTCAAGGTGTGTGTTTCCCTCTTCAGTAAAGTGTTATTTCACCGGCTGGGTTATTGACGTCGCAAAAAAAAAAATGGGCACCTTGTATATCTATTTTCAGTTTGGTGTTGGAGCTGCTCTATCGTTTAGTAGTTTAGATATTAATTATTACTACTTTTCCTCCCCGGTTATTTCTTACAATTAAACGCTTGGCCGTTAAAATTTGCATTAATAACTAAACATAATATAAAATTAAAATCAAAATGTAACTCGATTAAAGTATAAATTAATTTTAAAAAATACTCATACGATGTTCGTTGCCTATTCTTCAATCATGGTAATTTTGATTAATGAATTTTGTGCATGCCGTTAGTAGCATTATAGCGATTGCCATAATTGAGTCTTTAACGGATAAATACTAAGTAATCAGTAATTAAAAAATACGGTCGGAATTTGCCGTGTGAAAGTGATCATTTTTATTTTGAACTGAGGTGGCTTTTACTTAATGAAAATCCATTTAACCAAATAAATAAGAACTAAAAGTTCAGATTTTCACGAAATTATATATTTTTTACATGAAAATTGTCCAATAAATTTAATTTTCTACTTTTTGTGGCTGTATGTAAAATATCAAAATTGTCATCAAAAATGTGTTTTCTTGTGTTTCAACATTAACTTACATTAATAAAGAATTAGACTGTTTAGGGATCGATTGTGAATTAGCAATTAAGGACATTAACGATAGTAATTTAAACAAACATGTATTAGCGAATATAATAAACTCTCAATTAATAGATACCAACAAACAAAAATAAATTTCTCAAATGTCACTAGTAAAAACTATCAAAAAAAAGCTTCTGAAAATAACATAATATTTGCACGTGCAGATAAAGGAAATAGAGTCGTAGCTATCGATCTCCCAGAATATATTTCAAAAACCAACAATTTTCATAAACCAGAACTTTTCCAATGTATCAAACACGATCCTACCGAGTTATATCAAAGAGAAGTCAAGGAAGTAATTACTAAACTCCACACTATTTAGTGACAAAGACAAATATTTTTTAACAATTTTGAATCCACAACCGTCGAAATTATATTCTTTAGTTAAAGTACATAAACAAGATATGTCCATTAGACCAGCCGTTTCTTATGTAACGGCTCCAGCAGTTAAATTCTCAACAAAATTAGTAAACATTTTAAAATTCCACACAGATTTTAAACCAAAATTTGCAATAAAAAATTCTTTTGAATTAATCAATAAAATTAGAGATATCAAGATCCCTTCTAACGCAACACTATTTTCTTTTGATATACAAAACTTATTTCCCAGAATTCCACCTATGGATGTGATAGATTTAGTAGATTTCACCCTAACTCGGAAACAGGTTCACCCATTGGTGAAACAAGATTTATTAGATTGCTTAATAGTACCTTTAGACAAAAATTATTTTGAATTTAATAGACAGATTTACATCTCTATGGAAGGTTTGATTATGGGAAACCCACTTAGTCCTTTGTTAGCCGAGATTTTTATGGATAATTTGGAAAATATCATACTAGAACATCCTTTAAGTAAAAGTTTTCTATGGTGGTATAGATATATGGATGATATCTTTGCTTGCTTTGTTGGAACGGACAGACAATTGAATTCTTTTTTAAATTACATTAATTCATTACATAATCGTATAAAATATAAAATTCACTATCGAGATTGATAATTGATTGATTGAGATTGATAAATGATAATTTTTTAGACTTAACTATTACGAAAACGCTAAACAAATTAGATTTTTCCATTTATCATAAACCTTCACTCACGGACACAGTCACACATAAAGCTCAAATCACCCTTATGCACACAAAATGGCTGCATTTCACTCTTTTATACACAGACTTCTTAATATGCCACTCTCAACAGAAAATTACCACAAAGAACTTAATATCATTAAACAAATTGCAAATTGTAAATAAAAAACAAGTAAACTCTATTTATCCGAAACCCAATACAGAATACGAACAATTTAAAACAATTACATACATAGAAGAACCTAGTGAAAAAGTTTCAAAACATTTGTCAAAATGTGGTTTAAAAATAGCTTTCAGAATAACAACACAATATGAATATTTTTTAGAAACAATAAAACGAAATGTCCAAAATCTCAAAAATCAGGTGTCTACAGGTTGAAATGCGGATCTTGTCCTGAAATTTGTATTGGACAAACAGGTAGATCCTTCAAAAAACGCATTAACGAACATAAAAGAGCGTTTAAAAACAATAGTCTAGATTCTAATTATGCTAATCACAGAAAAACACATTTTTGACGACAATTTTGCAGCCACAAAAAGTAGAAAAGTAAATTTAATGGAAGCCACGGGGATTAACATAATGAGACATTGAAATGTATTGCTTAACGATCAATTAGATCTAAATACCTCTCCATTACTGAACTTAAATTCTCACAACAACATTAATTAAGCTTTTGTCATTTTTCGGTATATATAGTAGGAGGTTTTGATAAAGACACGGTGTTGTCAAAACAATATATATAATTTGGTGAAAATCTGAACTTTTAGTTCACTTTTATTTTGTCGCCTAATGAAAAATAAAGACAAATAACCACAAAAAAAAATTGGTCATCGAATGTTCGTCGCGGGAAAATAAAAATGGTCATTCGTCCAGTCTTTTACCCGGTTACTTCTTCTCACGCGATCACATAAGTTTCATCCCACATTTCTGTTCGCAGCTTTCATTGTAATGTAAACTGACCACGCGTGCACACTCACTTAACTAACACCTAACATCTAACCATAACCTTTAGATATGGAGCAAGAGCGTACAAAAGTTCAGAGACGCCATGCTCGAAGCTCATCCGTCGTTGGACGTCAGTCTGGGAAGCGCCAGGCATGACGCGGGTCCGTCTGGCGCGGACCTCGTCGCCAGAGAACTGGACGACTTCAATAATCGCTATCAGTACTTGCTGGACGTTCTGTACGGACGCTTGCAAGAGATCGCAAGGATGAATCCCAACGACATAGTTACTTTGGTAAGTATTAGTTGTCTACTTTTTTCTATTTTTTAGCTCTTACCCTCTCAAATGTTTCTTTTTGATATAAAAAAAATCCTCACCAAAGATGAGCCCTGTAACTCAACTCGAAGGGGTGGCTATTTTTATTTTAGTTTCAGATTTAATTAACATGGTAAAAATTCTTTTTTTCCTAAAATTAAATTTACGTATAATGTTCGCGATTTTTTACAAAAAAATCAATTTATATTGTTAAAGTTGTGTCTTTAATCATTAAAAGAAAGAAGATTAATTACAGCCATTTAAACATTTTGAACTTTTCAGAAATAGCTTCTAATAATTTTTTATCTACATAATCTCTCAAAATTTTTATCCTAATTAATAGTCAGGGTTTTATTTCTATGGATTTTAAATTTTAAAATGGTCATACGGTACAGTTGTCAAATTATCAGTGTTTGCGACACATATATTAAGAAATTATTGTGTATTGTCATTCTTTAAAGCTTTCAGTAATTATTATCGGTAAAATCGCAGAAAAGAAAATTTGGTTAGTTTTTCATGTAGAAAATTAAGTAAACGAAAATTACCGAGTATAAGAAAAGTTTTACAATTATTTTTGTACAAGCTTACAGATTCTAACCTCACAATTCGACAGTGTTTTGATGAAGTGATTCGTGATGTTATGATTTTACACCTGGTAGCAAAAATGTATTAAGAGAGAGCTTAGTTGATCACAAAAAAGTTTTACTGCCTCCTCTTCATATCAAACTTGCTCGATGAAACAATTTGTTAAATCCCTAGACAAAATTGGACAGTGTTTGAAATATTTGTGAGAGAAATTTCCAGCCATATCTGATGCCAAGATAAAAACACAACGACCAATATCGCGAAAAAACGCCTGGGTTTTGTTTAAAGAAGTAATTGGTAAGTTTCCCGGGAACTCTAAGAACGAAAACTACGAAAGTTTTATTCAAAATATGTTAGAACACTTTTATCGTCTAGGTTGTTATATGAGCTTGAAAGTGCATCTTCTGTTTTCACACTTGAACTATTTTCTTGAAAATCTATGAACAGTTAGGGAGATTTTCACTTTTTTAAAAAAAGGATTCCACCTTTTTACTGAATAAAAAGTTAAATTATTTTAGAAATATCTTTTTTTTTCTTTGAAATTTGTTTAAAAAAATCTTACGTGATACAAATAAATACATAGAATTTTTTAAAATTAATCTCCAAAATTATATAATATCAGTTTTCAAAATAAAAACGTCTGTCAGAAAGATTATTTTTGTAGAAACGGAGGCGTTATAAATATTGTGTTGTAATATACCGCAAGGAAGCCGAATAAACACAAAAATGGAGTGCATTTCGCAATATAAAATACGTTGATTTCAAGCGATTGACTTATAATTTGGCACTACGCGATCTTTAGATCTTATCATGTCACTAGAATAATTTAGATATTACTGACATTAACCATATAAACAGACCAGACCATAATCATTCGGAAACCCAATGGTTATTTTCCCTGACGAATTTCACCCATATTATCCCAAGTATAAAAAAATATATAAAGAAATACTTTTTGCTCTGAAGTTATTTATCTTGTTGCACTTAATACATTACATGTGTCAAAAAAAAAAAACTTGAAACATACAAAAAATACTGGTGCGTAAACGAACCACTGGGAAAAAACATTAAATAATGTTTTGCGGCACATAAGATGTAACATATAATTTATACATAAATATACAAAAGAAAGTTCAAATTCGACAGAAAACAACCAAAAGAACCAAACCAAACCAAATAGAACCTGATTTGATACAATAAAACGCATAATATGTTATGGTGCGTGAGTGCACCACTGGTAACACCCGCCTTCATTTTTGGTGCTATTTTATAAAGCATCAAGTATGTAAATGCACATTACACTTATTACAAACGTAAATTGTGTGGCTGTGGTAGTTCCTACATCTCCTTCGGGCATTATTAACATGAACAATCATGAGGTGACCTTGATTATCATAACGCACCTCATCTATAGCAGGTGCAAGATTTCTTCGAGTAATTGTTTTATCAATTGAACTGAGGTGACTTTTACTTGATCCATTTATCAAAATAAATAAGAAGTAAAACACCGTGTCTTTATCATGACATTTGATAAAGACACGGTGTTGTCGAAACAATTGTCATGTCATAATATATAATTTCGTGAAAATCTGAACTTTTAGTTCTTATTTATTTTGAATTGTTTTATCAGTTTTTAAAAGTCGCAAAGCAATGTAAGATTTAAAATCAAATCAATCACTTCGTCAACAAAAAACATAAAAAATATTTCAAGCGGAGTTTTTCCAGAAAGTCTATTTTTCAGTTCCTCACATGATCTAAATTCATCGGATAAAGGTGTATGAGTGTACTTAATCTGACCTTTCTTCCATTTGACAGTAGAAGCAAGCCTGTCATTTGCAGAAAGCAAACGTCTTCTTTTGAATTCCAAAGTTTCATCATCTGATGAGTCCCATTCAGGTTCAGTAGTTGATGAATTACAGGACTGTTGAAGAACAGCTGTACCATGTACGGTGTACGTAACTCGCAAGTTCCAACTATATCAAACTCTTGTAGATTTATGTTATTACGTCGGGTGGAATATAGACCGCATCAATATGTTGTGTAAATATTTTTTCGCGTTATTTTTAGTATAAATTTACAAGGAATGGAATGTTACATTACATAAGAACACGTAAGTCCAAATAATACTTACGACTTTCATTGTTATTGTCTTCATCCATCACGATCTCCTCCATAGCCGCTTCTAATTCCTTTTGAGTCAAATACCTCGGGAGTGCCATATTTTACGAACTGTAACGTTCACTGCACAAGGCACAAACTAATACTAAAGAATACGCTAATTGTTGGATGTTTATTCTACATGCGCTTACTTGTCTAGACTTGCAATAACAAAGTTTTATTTCACAGATAAAACCATGGTGCATTCACGCATCAGTAAATAATTTCAAAAAATAAAGCCTAATTAATACAGTATTTTCAATGTATATTTTCTGCGATGTAATCTACATGCTATAGATTTAACAAAAATGGCAATACAAATCCAAAATATTTTTTTTACTATTTTGGATTTACTAGAAAATGTATGTACCGCTTTTGTTAAGTTTTGAAGTCATATATAAGATCTTTCCTTTACACATAAATTAGCAATTTCTACGGTTTTATGTCCTCTAGTAGTGTTAATAATAAAATTTCTAAATGGATGTGCAAAAATATTTCCTGGATGTGACAAAAAAATCATAGAATAGGTGCATTAGCGCACCATTGGAACAAAATGGGTTGATCCAGTACGAGGTTGAGTTTTTTAAGCTACAACATTTGACAATTATTTAGAACTCTTTTTTTTAAGTGTTTTCTAAAAAAAAATCCTAGATTAATTATATTGGCGCAACGAATTTATTACATAATGTCGAACCGGTTATTTTTGAGGCGATTTTTTTTCCATTGTCTGCATTATTTTGCTAAATGTTGTCAGTTTTACAATCTTGCTTAATTATACCCGGAAATCCGAGATGACTAATGACCGACGATGAAGGATCGAGTTTCTTATTATTAAAAATTCTTTGAATTTACCATTGACGTCCAATAAATATTACTGATAAAAAAAGAACCTGTACATACAGCGACTCCTCTAAAATCTCATATGCGAGTTGTTCTTGTCTACTTTGTCTAACTTTATTTATCATTTCCATTTTTTAACATCCTCGTCGGTATTATTTCTAAACAAATTATGCCAGTTAACGGGATATTGTAACTCCTTTTTGTTTCAGTATTTTACTAAATTTTATTGGTTGATTAATGTCTCCTGCACCTAACAATGATTTATTGCCTGTAAACTTTATATTTCATAACCGTGCGAGAATATCGAGTGGGTTCTAGTCGCGAAAACCTTTTTTTTCTAACGCGACTCCTTTTATAGATAAATCGTGTAGGTTTGAAATCTGCATAATTCCACTTAAAAACGTGCCGCAATATAAATATAAAATTGTTATTATGCGGCGATTGTAGAGGCGCCTGGTTTTATTGTCGCGTATTTGACGTTCCGTGTGACTAACGACGAAAAATAGAAACAAACTAAAATTAATAATGGACGCATTTAATCTCCAAGTTTGTCTATTTTTATAGTAAAAGGATTCGACACTGATTTGATATAAATTAAATAAAAAAAAAAAATTGAAAATGTCGGGAAAAATACTGCAATAAGACAAATTAAGCGAGATGCTCGTTTCTACATTTTTCAACCAACAGGGAAGTGTTTAGGTTAGACATTCAAAAAATAAAAAAAAAAATATTACGAATAGTTTTTTAAAATTCCAAGAATATATTTTTCGACACATTGCAAAGTGCAATATATATATATATATATATATATATATATATATATATATATATATATATATATATATATATATATATATATATATATGAAAAAATTGAAAATTGATTTAATTGATCACCATTATCTACGATTGTTTTATACCAATAGTAAACAGTTTTGTTAATTTCAAGCTTTCATTTAACGTTTAATCAATTTGTCATAATTTCAAACGATTAAACTAATTCTAAAAAAATATATATTTCCAATTTGGAATCATTGTTCAAATATTTGTTCATAAGGATAAAGTTTTGCGCCTATTCGAAAAGCGATTGTACTATATATTTTAGCGTTAGTATGCATAATAACTAAGTATTTTAGGAATTATGTCTAATTGCTGAAACTGCTAGTGATTTTTCATAATAACCGACAACAGTAAGAATTATGCATAAATATTGACATCGTCAGATATTATGCATAATAATGAAATATCCCATTAAAATTAGTAATACAGTCGAAACTCTATATAGATTGAAGGGATTGTTTTTTTTTCGTTATAAAGAGCTATAGGCACTTGAAAAATAACAATACGCATATGTGTTTTGTAATATTTAATTATTTTATATACATGTTTTAACATCTA